AGGACCTGAGAGCACGGGACACACCACACCAGGGATGCCCCAGGCCACACCAGCCCCCTACATCTCCCTGATAATAAACCACTAATTAACACCTCCATGCATGTGGGAAGTCCTGGTGTGCCATGCTCAGTGCCCACAAGCACATGGCATCACATGGCTCCTGCCCACCCCAGGACTGATGGGAAGAGCCCCGGTGCATGCCTGCACTCCTCATCTCAGGGTGAAACACCGGGACAGCCCCCCAACAGCAATGGGGTGTCCCTGGCCCCAGCCTCTAGTCCTGGAGGGCACTGGGCTCCCCACGAAATAGCAGGACTCAGCCAATGCCAATGCAGGCCGGGGCAGTGATGTGGCAGGGTGAAAGAGGACCATCTTGCCCCCACCCACCCTTCTGGGGGGACACATCAGCACCTCTACACCAGATCCCAGTCCCTGGGACCAGGGAATGGTGACAAACAGGCGAAGGGCCAGCACACAGCTTGGGGGCATGGGAAGCCCAGGCACGTGGCTGGCTGTGGGAATGGGGTTTGCCTCGCTCATGGGAAACACAGATACATTGGGGCAAACCCGCCTGGTTCAGTGCTGGGGGCAACAGCACAGAGGGGACAGAGATGTCTGTGCCATGCAGGGCCAGTCTCTCTGGCATAAGTGGCAGCACATTCCCATCAGAGACAGTGGATGCAGCCCACAGCCAGGCGGCACCCCCACCTGCACGGGGGGTATAAAAGAGGGGCTGGGTCACCTGCACCATCCCAGGTGTCAGGGTGCCACTATGGCCATGGGGGACCCCACCTGCAGCCGGGGGATAGCCTTGCTCCCACCCAAATTCCCCCAGCACTTGTGGCCACGGGACATCCTCCTGTGTGACCCCATGGGCAAGGGGCTCCCCCTTATCTGCCCACCCAGGCACTCACCCTTGCACCCCTCCTTATCCCCCTTCCCATTGTGTCCCTACCCCATCCCTATCCCCCTCAGCCCCAAAGTCCCTCCCTCTCCCCACACATCCCCAGCACTCGCGCTGTCCCCCTTCCTCATCCCAAATTGCCCGTT